CACAGACCGCTGATTAAAATTTCATAGGAGGGGGCCAGAAGGACGAGTCTGCTGTAGGTAGTAGTTAAACAGTAGAAGTGGATGAAGGCCTGTGGAAGTAGATGGATTTCATTTATTTGAGTAGGGTTATGGGTCAATGACATATAAGTAATCACAATTTTAAAAAAAGAAAAAACAATCTAGTTTAAAACAAATGTGCCAAGTTTTAGAAATGTACTCTTTGAATTATGTTGGTTTCATATGGTTTAAAATAAATAAAACACTCTTGTTGTATACTATGTTATATCCATAGTAGTTTCAATTTTATGTTTCTAAAAATGCCATGTTGTGTAACCAAGTAAAAATAATATTTTCCCTTATACCTGGAATACTTGTGCATGTACAAAATATATATAAAAAAACATGAAAAATATGAATATGAATTATAGTATTAATTGAGGTAATTTTTTTTTTTTACAAATTAAAGATATAGTTTACCCAAAAATGAAAATTCTGTCATTAATTACTCACCCACGTCGTTCCAAACCCGTAAGACCTTCGTTCATCTTCGGAACACAAATAAAGATATTTTTGATTAAATCTGAGAGCTTTCTGACCCTCCATAGACAGCTACGCAACAACTACTTTGACGCTTCAAAAAGTTAATAAAGAGATTGTAAAACTAATCCATATGAATTGAGCCGTTTAGTCCAAATTTTCTGAAGAGACTTGACAGATTTAATTTAGGCTTATTCGTTGACCTACAGTATATCCCAATGTTTTCTGTCCTTGTGCTTCTTGGCGAGCAGCATGCAACCATTTTCTGCAGTTGTCGGATGCAATACAAATTGTTTGTTGTCCAAATGTTGCAGTTTAGTGAGAGTGACGGGTTGTGGAAAGGCTGGGGCTACATTTTCAGATGCAGTCGTGTCTCCGTAGACTCCTAACACGTTGCTGACATCTCTTTTGTGAGAGTGAGGTTGCAATGGAAGCGGCCGTTTGTTGACTGCGCTTGCTTTGATGGGGAGAATCACAAGAGAGATCAAAAGGAGGTTCGGCAGCCGTTCGGGATCGTACCACACTGATGTTTACTTTTCACATAAGTGCTCTTCTATTAGTTATTAACTGCTTTACTGAGTCTCTTTTCATGTTTTTTTTGTTTGGCCCTTTTGTTAGGATGTCTGCTTGTAAGAGATTGTAGTCATTGGCTTTATGGCCACTTGTCAATTGGCCATCCGCAACACACATGGCCATCCGCACACAGAGGTCTGCAGTAAATCACAAACTGTGATCAGCCCCATGCTGTAACTGTATTGTCTAAATGTCAGGATACCCAGAGTGGGGGTACAGGGGGATGGGACGATGACAGTAGATAAAGTGAAGAGATTCAAGCTTCACTCTAGTGTGTGTGTTTGACAGCTGTTTTCTTCCACACTCACTTCCCCCTCCCCAGACCCCTGTCAGCCTCCCCTCCATTACTCACCCCAACACTCCAGCACCAGGACAGCAGTGACAGCTCCCCTCCCTGAGCTCAGCCAGCGAGGTGCAGGAACCAAACTGAGAGAGTGGTTGAAAAGGCACGCAAGATCCGTGAAATCCTATCCATGACGGTGAGGGCCTCAGATGACTCTGATGTCCACCCTGCTGTGATGATGGTTTATATGTCATCGGGACAGATAGGATATTCCTCCGACTGTAAATTTGCAGGCGGCTTGGTATCTCTCTCTGTGCATGGATAGACATATCCTGGAGGGAGGTCCTTATGGGCTATAGAGTTTCGAAACACTTCCTGAGGTTGATGGCGAGTGTGTGTCCCTTGGCACAAGTCGTCTCCTAGGGTTCCCGGGTAATTGTTGTGTCATTACAGAGGTAATCGTGCAGCAGCTATCCCTAAAAAAATACTTGAAATAATATAGGTAAATGCATGTGGTGTGCAAACAGGCCAAAAGCCCTTCAATACATGAAGGAAGCATATTTAGTCTTGCTAGGTCATAAAAGTGTTAATAGCCATGGTGGAATCACAGCACCCTGGGAAATTGTTATGAACACTGCAGGGTACGAAATGATGTCATATAGACAGATTTCATCGCAAGATCATTGACAACGCTTGTGCTTTATGGAACAAAACATTGCCAGAGCTTAGGACAGGTTTTGCAGGAAGGAACACCTGTTCTGCTCATATTTCTGCATGACAGCCTATAATCTTTAAATTGTTAGGTGCATCAAAGAACCATTTTCTTGGGTTCCAATTGACTATGCATGGTTCTTGAGCTGACAGGAATTACAAAATAAATTGTTTCATTATAGGTCCTTCCGATCAGTATATTGGTGGAAAAGAGGAAAAATTAAACTCTTCTGGGTTCTTTGAAGCGCCAGCCTGGAAGACCAGTTCGGGACTTGCTAAACTAGAATTGTGAACCAAATTGAAAACCAAATTGTGCAGACTGCAAAATCAGCTAAGAACATGCTTGGGCTGGTTTAAGATGGCTTTTCCAGCAGGGATGAAAAACTAAAATGTTCTTCTATTGCATTACACTCTAAAACCCCTTTTTGAAATGTTTAGCAGCAGCGCTTGCTACGGTCCTAATTCTTTTTTTAAATAAATATATAAATACAGCACTTTTAACTCAAGTGTTGTTCTTAGTGACTACATCTTACACACATACAAGCACACAGACGCACACATACACACTTAGGCTTCCCATCAGCAAATTAACTGAATAAAGAGCCTCTCTTTGCTGGGTCGTTTGAGTGGCTAATTAGTCATCAGCGCATGCTGTGTGGAGAGAGAGAGAGAGGAGCGCAGAAGAGAGATCGGTTTTGCATCAAGAGGTAGAACTTCAAACAACATCTGATGAAAGCCAAAATGCTTAATTAAAATCTATTTGTATGAGCGAAAAATCATCATAATTTCAACCTCAAAAAATAGAGAGGGTTAGAAAAAAAAAGCTGTTTTGTTAGATGCGGGTGGAGATATAAACACATTAGTTTAGATAATGTGCCGACTTTATTATCCAAGCAGGGAGCGGAGACAGCGAGAGGAACTGACTCTGAGATTGGCGATAATTTCCCCTTTGTGTCTAACTTGGACTGCATCCACATTTGCTAATAACAGTTTTGCGATTCTCCCCCTCGCCTCTCTTTGCCCGCTCTTTGTCTGACATTGGCTCTTAGCGCTGCATGCAAACCCCCTGGCACTGCATTTATAATAGATGGAGCTCAGTGTGCACAATATAAGCAGGGTATAAAGGGGCTTTCTACACTAGCAGCCAGTCCAGAAGAGTCAAATCACCTCATCTACATTTTCCTTTCTTTTTTGTTCATGTAGTTGCTCAGATGTGTGTGAAAATATAGTGTGCTTATGCCAAGTTCTTTCAACCCTCTGCCATCTCTCAATGGCATGTTGCTTTAAGCTGCATTATATAGAGAATTTATACATATGCTGCACTGTGCTGATCAAAGCAGGTTGGGTATGTCCGCAGAGCATCTATTAAAGTAATAAGGCCTACAAAATGCACAAGAATGGAATAATTCCAATAGGTGCATGATCTCTCTTGGTTGCTAAAATTTCTGCATGCTAAAACATGGCTAAAAAAGCTTCAGTGCATGGATAATTCATGCACTCTCCAGGTAGCGCTCAGAATCATAAATGAATGGAGAGCTGAAGGGGAGAGCTTGCAGTGGTGAATTGTAGCTGCTGCAGTGGACTGTTTCAGTTATTTTAGTCTTTGTTGAAGGCTCTGCTTTATTGCATAACATGAGTCAAATTGTAGCTACTGCTACAGTATTAGTGCCTTTCTTTCAGTGTCGCCAGTGAGGTCAGAGAAAGTGCACAGGAACCATTTGGCTTCAAGTAAATTCAAGTCAATGTTTCACTTAAGCAGTAGCTGGGATTGCATGGCATTAGAAATGTATCTGATACGGTTTCTAACCCTTTTCTGTGTTTCCTTCATGCACAAGGGTTTACATCTTTCTAAGGGACCCAATATATTTTCATGTATTAATATATTTTCCATGTATAAAACGCCATTTATACTATATTAAGTGTGACATTGTAAAAACAACTAATTTTGGCCATTTAAAAAAATATTTAGCAGTAATTAATATTTTCAATTAATAATAATTAACTTTGAAAAACACACTTTGGACAATCTTTTTTCTCTGCTTTTTTGCAGATACCCTAATAGCCCCTAAACCTTAGTTTGAAAACCCCCTGCATGCATATACATTTTTCAATTAATAGACTAAAAAGTGCAGCTTATCAGAAGACAACTAGGAAATAGCTAGGAAATACCTTCATTTTGGACAATTTATTTTGGTCTGAGCTAAAGGAGATGATAGAATTAGTTAAGATAGGGCATGTACAGAAACTGTAATTTACAGCTGACATGAAGTAAAGAGCTGCAAGGTTTACTGCCATTTGACTGCCAAAGTGCTTTTACCGCAACACACTGAACAGAACTCTCTAATATCCAAACTGGCCACTGTGACTGGGGAACAATAATGTTAAACCACTGAAAAAGAAACTGCTGAGTGAGCAGTCAGTGAGCCATGATAGTGCTGTCTTTCTCTTCCGTCCTCCCTCTGTCTGCCAAAGTATTCATCAGAGGAAAAACAGAGTGAGGGGAAAGGTATCTTAAGTAATAAGACGGTAATTTCTCGCTCAATAAGCACCGTACAAAATAGCCTACCCTACATAGATAAATACTATTCACTCAACCGCAGCAAGTGTAATAAAAATTCCACGGATGTTCAACTTCTCTCCCAGAAAATGTTGCCCATCAGCTGCACTCGAAAAATTTTCTGTGCGAAAGTCTCTATGTAGCAGATGTAGTCGTTTACACTTTCAACAGTGCGACCAACTAAACCAACACCAACTGGAAAAGTGTTGATGCACCACGTGTTTCACTGTTACCATGTGTTTTTTCAGACGGTTACCCTTCCCTTTATAAACATCACTGGACTTAAGAGTATTCTAAGGCGTACTGTCTCATGTTTATGCATTTCTGTTTCTCCTGCAGACATGTCTCGAACTGGAGAGGTACCTACAGACGGAGCCCAAAAGGCTTTCGGAGCTCTTCGACGAGGAGCTTGACTGCCTCCTTACGCCAGCCTTCATGAGGGGAGACAGCGACGAGGACCTGATGGACCCTCTGCTGCCCAATTTATCCGACGAGCCCAGCCCTCCACCTCTTCTGGTATCCCTTCCCAAAAACCTCCATGCCCCAGCCAACGCCAAGAGTACCGACACAGGGCTAAAAGAAGCCAGTGGAGGGGTTAATCCCGCCCAGCTAAACGCAGTCACATCCCTCACACCACCTTCCTCACCGGAGTTGGGACGCCATCTTGTGAAGCCCACGCAGACTCTTACCGCCACAGCTGATGGCACGCTCACGCTGAAACTGGTGGCCAAGAAAGTGGGACTTGGGGCAGCAAAGTTAGTGGCGACACATTCGCTACCTTCGCCACCAAATCGCGGGGCACAGAGCGACGGTGAAGGAGGCCTGGGAACAGTAGGCGGAGGGGACATCCCGGAAAACAAAAAGAGGGTCCATCGTTGCCAGTTTAATGGCTGTAGGAAGGTTTACACAAAAAGCTCCCACCTAAAGGCACACCAGAGGACACATACAGGTGATTAAATGCTCCAATAACATATGTTTTAACATTTAGCATCATGTATAGCATTTAGCTTTCCTGGAGAAAGGCTTCTGGTATAGCAAGTCTAACTCTGCATGTAATAAGATGAAGTTTTCAGAGTTCAGAAAATACTATAGAAGGGTCACAAGAGATCTTGTGAAGCTAACTCGATTTTTGCTACACAGCCCCAAAGCAAAATATCTGGTTTTCTCTCTACTGCACCTTAATCTCAAACTAAAATGAGCCCAGCCACGCCATTCAAAACCTGCCAGTGCAGTCAGTAATTGCAAGAAGATTGATAGACTGACTGAGCTGAATCTTGTTTCCCAGCTAATTCGAGCTCACACGCTCCGGTGCCGTAGTTGCTGCCCTCTCGCTGAACCTGAGAGTGTGTTGCACTCTGCCATGGCCCCGAAACCTACTGTGACAGTGGCCTTAATACAGCGTATCTGGCCCCTGTGGCCAGCTGTTGACTCGGCAGGTTTCTGTGAGAGCTGGTGGTGCTAATCGCTTTTAGGCTGATTCTAACGTATAGATGGTGCTTAGCTTCTGAAGATCGGGGGAAATGGGCAATAGCAGGAAAAATGGGAAAATAAAAACCCTGAAGATACATTTTGGCTCGCTAGCTCATCACATAATGTGTTTATTACAAGACAGATTATTCTTTTAATTAGCTTAATCCTGCTCTTTCGGTTATCATTTCCGTAGATTACTAAAACAGGGAGATTAAAATTACAACAGGATTTAAGAGAAGCCTACTTGCTACAGGACTCTTTGCTAATATTTTTGTTTTAGGAGCACTCATGGCCCTGAAAAGTGAATTAAGCATTTCTACAGAATTCAGGGGGGAACATTTTTTTTTTTTTCAGATTGAATATTTTAAGATAACCTGAGAGATGGCATAAAACAGTTACAGGGTTGGCTGATGCCCTTATGAATAATGTTATATAATATATATATATATATATATATATATATATATATATAACATTATTAAATGTTGAACAGTAGGCTTACCTTATTGGCTGAAAGACAGATGTTGTTAAGCATGCATTAATTAGTTGGTGATAATCGAACAAAGCTAATGACTGGATTTGACTGGACACCCAAAGGGCTACCTAGGAACATCGACATGACCAAATTACAAATCAGAAATAATTTCACATTATGATTCACATTAATCTGGTGAGAAAGGGATCTCTGTTGACTTGGATTTAAGGTTAGATGCATTAGGGAGCTTTTATTTTGTTTTAATTGCATTAGGGAGTTTTATTGTATTAATATACACCAATACATCTGATTGGGTGTCAGAAGTCGCTTATTTTTTCCACATTCATTTACACTCATAAATGCAGACGTGAAGCCCTGTGGTAATGACATGGTCCTACTTTGCTTTGTCAACAACGTTTACTGAAGTTAATAGCACATCCCTGAATGGGATTTGGAGGTTAAAAATGGGTTAGAATCAGAGAGCTCATTTTGAAATGCAACATGAGCCACTGTAGAAGCCGAAGTAAATGGATGATAATTGGGCCGTACCTCTGAAATCTAAACTTCAGAGACAGTAATAGCTTACCAGCACTCTGTCTTGAGGAAATGTAATTAACCACACCGTACACACCTAGGACACTGGTGCGAGGGAAGGAGCTTACCGTTTTGGAGGGGATCCGTTGCTAGGAAACCATATCAAAAGACTGTAATAGGTTGATTATTTGCAGCTCTATACCAATTGAAGCTCCAATATGCCAAATCAATCCCACCTTTCCCCTACCCTCTTTGGGTACAGTTGGGGTTGCCAGGCAACTACATCATGCATATCTAAAGCAAGCAATAATTGGTTGGTATTGAGTGTCCATAGGTTGCATACCGACTGAATGGCTCTTTCTCTGTCTCTTCTCTCCTTTTAACACTCTCTCTCCCTCTCTTGGCTGGTTGCTAGGCGACTCCATCATGCATCCGTGACTCTCCAAGTTATAATTGGCCTGCGTTATGGTTGCCGTGGTTGCAGGTCCAAGCCTGCCTCGCTGCTGTCAGACAGCAAGAGAGGGAGCGAAATAAAGAGACGGAGGAAGGGGGCTACGGCATAAGGAGGGAGCGAGCGCGAGGGGGTCTTTGGCCAATTATTGTGAGTGTAGTGCGAAACGTTTGCCGTCTCACACCTGCGGCCAGCCACTCTCCAAATGACACAGAGATGCTCTTCCTGCACACTTGTAGCAGTCACAGACACAAGAGCAGACGTGGCAATATTTTCTCCAACTGTTTTTATAAATTGAAAAAGCTCAAGGACAGGCAAACATAATAAAATAAACCTCAAGGCACTTTGACCTACTGTTTGTCTGTGCGCATCTTGCCTGGCAGAGAAAGATGAGAGATGTCAAAGAAGGCCCGCTGCTTCTTTGCAATATTTCCAGAGGTGAACTAGTGAAAAAAAGGCCAAGTACATTGTGTTATATTTAAAAATCCTCTTCTATTTGTCATCGGAAGTCAAGAAATATTTTTATGGGGAATGGAAAGAGGAACTGGTCAGGCCTCTTACGATTCGTTTTCCTCATCGCCATTGCCGTGTCATTCTTTATGTTGCATCATAACAGACTTTCAGGATAGACTGAGCAACGTAGTGGTAAACCCGACGTTATGTCATCCGTTACATCATCTTGCATCATAAAGCTAAAAAACGAGACAGGATAAATAGATGAACATACTTTGATTTCATAACAGTAACAGTGTGCTCATATCAACTGCATACATTTTTGGGGATATGAAATATTGCGAAAGCGAATACCTTCCACTTTCCCCACATCTAACTGGATCATATTTTCCTTACAAAAGGAAAAAAGAAAATAACAGCCTGTAGTCATTTCCATTCCCTCTATGATTTTCTTCATCAGTTTCCAGAGTCAGTCGTGGAGGTCCAGGCACATCCTTGCTGAAAGACTAGCATAAAACAGCATGAATTTCTATGTTGGTCCAGACTAGTTTAAACTTGTTAGTATAGTCTTTCAAGTAAGGCAGGTTTAGTAGGACTGTTAATGACTAATCATTCATTGATTAACCATCAATAATCAAAAATCAATAACCTGCCAACTGCATCTGTCCTGCCTTCCATCCTTCCATCTGTCTATCTGTTAATCTATCCATCAATTTATCGGTCTATCTATCTAGTCTGCCCATCTACCTTTAACTACCTAAACTATTTTTTTTTAATTACATTACATTTGATTCAACAATCAACTACAAAAATCACCATCCCTACTTAGTGAGTTTAGACATGTGGTCGGAACCAATTTAGTGCCCTTTCTCCAATGGAGAAACAGACACTTTATTCTGGTTAGGAAGATTGGTGCACACAGCGTTTGCTGGAGTAGCTGGCAGCTCTTGTACTGTAAATATGGCATTGTTTCCCATTAAGCGTCATTAAGACCCCAATTATCATTACCACCTCCAGATCTGAATCCATGCCATCAACACCCTCCCCATTCCCACCCAGGCCCCAGGCTGAAGCCAGTTCTGTTCCCCAGGAACACTGCCACTGTGCTGGGACCCTCTTTTCGAGTGTTGAACCCCCCCCCCCCCCCCCCCCTTCCTCCCTCACTCAAGGCCATATTTTGAATTTGAGGCATAAAAGTACAGCATGTGGAACAATTGGTATCTCCTTTCCCATCTGTTTAACTTCATTTGAATTTCAGAGCTCAATGGGAGGGTGAAGAACATTTAGCACAAATGGCTTCATTTTGGATACTTGACTTTGGGTTATGAATTCATTCTGTTATGGTGACTGAGCACATTTAAGCAGCCCCACTTCAATTTAAAAACAGGTGGAAAATGACTCTGATCAAATCAATTTTTGTGTCTGAAAACGATCACCTCTATATATTGCCTGAGAAGGCAACATTTTTTACTATTGAGAATACAGGAGGTTTTGGCTACAGACATGCGATTGGTCGACTGGGAGAAAAAGCAGCAATTTGATTGGCTGGCTGGGATGTGTGATTGAGAGAAACAGTAATGAATGATGTTGATAATGGAACTGCTGACGGTGCTCACAGTGGCACAGCGGCTGCCTCGCTCCAGAGGTGCACCATCTGTGTACAGGTGTGTGTGAATGGTAAAGCATGGATTAAATGATGTGTGTTTGTGCATGCAGGTGAGAAACCTTACAAATGCTCCTGGGAAGGCTGTGAATGGCGTTTCGCACGAAGCGACGAACTGACAAGGCACTACCGCAAACACACTGGTGCCAAACCTTTCAAGTGCAACCACTGCGACAGGTAAGAGACACTGCAAATGCTGCAAAGCTAGCTCACAATAAATGCATGCGCTCATTTAACCCTTTTTAATTCTTTAACACTCCTACACATTCACTAGCCCACAGTCCTCAAGTGCCCATAAACAAATTCCTTTAGCTATGAGACTAGAAGACCAAACTCTCTCCCTCAAAAAGAACCCTCCCTTCGCTCTTGTTTTCTTAAATTCTCTCTGATGGCATTGCACATACCAAAACTGCATCAGGCTCATTGGAAGTTAGTACAGGCCCAGTTCCCCGCTGAATAACTCATTCACAGTCTGGTCCTGTGATACCCATTACTGAATTACTGTGAATATCTCATGCTCGCATCCTGTTCCACTTTCATCCGTCCTCCCTTCGGTACAGCATATTCCCACACTGTGGCTTGAGTGCAGGGAGAAAGAGAAGTTAAAGGCATGGGTGTGCATTCCAAGGTAAGAGAGTTATACAACAGTAATATAAAAGAGCTGGGTAGAGGCACAGGAAGAAATGGATGCACGTAGAGCTACAGAGGAAAGACACAGCATATTTGATGAGTTTGGTGAATATAATGAACTACATGCAAATTCTTCCCAACTAAAACACGACGTGCCAGTTACATGGTTTATTGGTACTTTCATTTTATTTCATGACTTACTAATTAACAACATAACAACGTTGACGTATATTGTATGCGCAAATGCGGCGACGAGTGCTGTATATCTCTTCACCATACATTAACGTTGTTGTTATGTTGTTAATTAATAAGTCATGAAATAAAAGTAAAGTACCAATAAACCACGTAACTAGTACGTCGTGTGTTTTAGTTGGGAAGGATTTGCATGCAGTTCATTCTATTAATCAGGAGCAGTTTCCATATGTTTCATTAACAGTTCATGTAAGTATTGTGATTTACCATGGTAACTGTTGTTTCTGTAACCACTATATTTTTTTAATATATATATATATATATATATATATACATACATACATACATATTCCTAAAAAAATTGGGTCATGGCTTAATTACCATGATGGGACAAACCAGTTGAGTTGGACCCACAAGTTGAGAACCACTATTTTAAAGTACCGTATGCACAATTAGAATTGGTGTGTCCGAAAAAATAATGTACTTGCCTGGATGGTTGCCCAGGCTGACTGAAACGGTTTAGGGCAGCCAACGGAGTGTCCACGAAACCTGCTTGAAAATAGTACATTTTGTAATTTTGTTTAGTTATGCTAGTGGCACTAGTGTTTAAATCTTACGGGCTATATTTTAGCCAAGTCACCTTCATTTATATAGCTTTTTTTTTACAATACAGATTGTTTCCAAGAAGCTTTACAGTGATAATTGTAAATTAATGCAACAAAGATTATTTTGGCTGTACAACAGCTCTAGAAGAAAGTCAAGCGCACACGCATACACACACACACGTGATGCAGAGGCAGCATGGTAAACGTGTGTTGGCGTTGGTGATAAAGAGGTGAAGAGACACAGAAACAGCAGAGAAAAAGGGAGATTTGCATTAGCATGGGGAGAAAGAGTGATAGCCTGTCAGGTGACAGTATTAGGAAGCTGTCACTCGGGCCTGGCATGCGGGCAGCAATTACACAGTGGAGGCCGCGTGCCCACTGAGCCAGCTCCAGGTGGAAGCACAATTAGACACGGCTCCCTGTCTCGCCGTCGGCATCAAACCAACCTTGCCGCAGCCTTTTGAAAGTTGTCCATTGAACATTTCTCTGCTGCTCCATCACAATGAAGCTCCACCGATCCCAGCGGACAAGTTGCGGCTGGGACGGCCTCTGTTCTGCAGACTGCTGCCGACACCTGAACAGCGCCGTTTTCCCTCAGGCTCAGCCAAGCACGTGAACTCTCTGGGGGAAGGCATGGGGAAATCTGTGTTCCTACACTCATTACTCAGTGTTTGGCAGCTATTGCATGACAAAAGGAGGAGGAGCCGGCTTGGATAAGCAAATCTACATTGACAATTCTTTCTCCCTTATGTCAGTTATAAACAAGGGCATTTTCTGAAGTTGAGGTCTAGCCTAAGCAATTTAGTTCCGCTGCAGAATCCCACACACAGATCCCCATCATTCCCTGGGAAGCATTTATAAATTGAGCCCTCCTGTTATTCACTTTTAATACTAAACCTTGAAGAACCTTTCAGGGAAGCACATCCATTTTTGGTTGTGCATTGAATTATGGGTGTATAAAGAATGGAAAAAAACTATTACAAATGTGAACAGTGATGCTGCTGGAATGTGAAAGTGTCCTTGTGCAGCATTATTACTCTTGACTGGGATAACAATAAAGAATAATGTGTAGCAATGGCAGAAGGAGACCGTATTTATTGTCTGATGGCAGAAAGGATGCCTAGTTGAATCTGGATGGAATAAGCCAGGGGCTAAAGGTGATTCTGAGTGTACACTGTTGAAAAGGTGTGCAAAACTGCCCATTATGGTCTTCAATTTTGCAACTGACCTCTTCTCTGGCACTGCCTCCAGTCAGTTCAGGACGAGTCCCATTACAGAATTTTTTTTTAATTGTATTTAAATTGTCTTACTAAACAAAGGCAGCTGCAGTCATGTGGCAACACCATTAGATATTAGAATAGAACAGTCAATACATAATACAGCATTTCTTCCATGATTTTTGGCATAGTGCCAGACATGTGCATCCGTCTTAAGTTACAGAGATAGTTACTCTGAGGCAACCTGAGAATAGGAGTCTTGCTCAAGTCCACAACAGTGATTAAGAATTAAGTTTAAGAATTAAATTAAAAACCAGTGCTGACTAAAATTACTTATGCCAAACTTTTAGGGTATATTTAAAAAAAAAAAAAAAAAGGCTTAACATTTTTTCACATTATCTAGAAGATAAAACAAGATTTGGAACAGCATGAGCCATGGTATTTCTCTCAGTTAGGTGTAATTACACAGAGTGTGTTACCATCACAAAAGCTACAGTCAAGGGCAGTCTAACAGTAAATACAGTCAGCCAACACACACAGTCATACTGTCTCACAGTCACACACACACAAGTGTATTGGGCATCATTAATCCTGCCTAATCAAGCACAGCCCCCTGTTGGGTGTTGAGAGGGGTTGAGTGAGAGGTGGGGGGAGGGGTTATGAGATCTAAGGGTGTGCCAGCTGGTGTAGCAGCCACTTACAGTGAGTCACAGGACCATCTGTCCAGTCGCTCTATCCTACCTCCACACACACACACACGCATATTTACACCTAGATCAATGCAAATCACAAACAAAAATTTAACCGAGTGTAATATACAATGTCATCAAGCTCTGCAAAAATATTCACATACCTGAACAAAAGTGAAATGTATATATGTCATTCACCTAATGCAAATCCACAGATGATGATTGGTCAATACTGAAGTCTAGCAGTATTTTACTAAACAATAAAAGAAATAAAGAAAACTTGTCTTGGCTGCTACTGGGGTGCTGGAAATGGTCAGGTGTACACTCACCTAAAGGATTATTAGGACCACCATACTAATAATGTTTGACCCCCTTTCACCTTCAGAACTGCCTTAATTCTACGTGGCATTGATTCAACAAGGTGCTGAAAGCATTCTTTAGAAATGTTGGCCCATATTGATAGGATAGCATCTTGCAGTTGATGGAGATTTGTGGGATGCACATCCAGGGCACGAAGCTCCCGTTCCACCACATCCCAAAGATGCTCTATTGGGTTGAGATCTGGTGACTGTGGGGGCCATTTTAGTACAGTGAACTCATTGTCATGTTCAAGAAACCAATTTGAAATGATTCAAGCTTTGTGACATGGTGCATTATCCTGCTGGAAGTAGCCATCAGAGGATGGGTACATGGTGGCCATAAAGGGATGCACATGGTCAGAAACAATGCTCAGGTAGGCCGTGGCATTTAAACGATGCCCAATTGGCACTAAGGGGCCTAAAGTGTGCCAAGAAAACATCCCCCACACCATTACACCACCACCACCAGCATGCACAGTAGTAACAAGGCATGATGGATCCATGTTCTCATTCTGTTTACGCCAAATTCTGACTCTACCATCTGAATGCCTCAACAGAAATCGAGACTCATCAGACCAGGCAAAATTTTTCCAGTCTTCAACTGTCCAATTTTGGTGAGCTCTTGCAAATTGTAGCCTCTTTTTCCTATTTGTAGTGGAGATGAGTGGTACCCGGTGGGGTCTTCTGCTGTTGTAGCCCATCCGCCTCAAGGTTGTGCGTGTTCTGGCTTCACAAATGCTTTGCTGCATACCTCGGTTGTAACGAGTGGTTATTTCAGTCAAAGTTGCTCTTCTATCAGCTTGAATCAGTCGGTCCATTCTCCTCTGACCTCTAGCATCAACAAGGCATTTTCGCCCACAGGATTGCCGCATACTGGATGTTTTTCCCTTTTCACACCATTCTTTGTAAACCCTAGAAATGGTTGTGCGTGAAAATCCCAGTAACTGAGCAGATTGTGAAATACTCAGACCGGCCCGTCTGGCACCAACAACCATGCCACGCTCAAAATTGCTTAAATCACCTTTCTTTCCCATTCTCACATTCAGTTTGGAGTTCAGGAGATTGTCTTGACCAGGACCACAGCCCTAAATGCATTGAAGCAACTGCCATGTGATTGGTTGATTAGATAATTGCATTAATGAGAAATTGAACAGGTGTTCCTAATAATCCTTTAGGTGAGTGTATGTGCTTATTTTGTCAAGAAAAAAGGTCAATGCAATGGAAAAAGTAACCACCCATTTTCAGTGGCCTTCGTTCTGAATACTTTTCCCCAATTAAAAAAAAATCCTCAATAAAAACAAACAAACAAACAAAGAGACAAATCACAAAATTACACATTTTAATTTGAAGTAAATAAATAAGTATGGTGGGGGGATACATTTATAAGGTTTGGTTTTTATGAGGGAATGAACTACAATCCCCATGAAGCACTGTGAATGGCAAAACATTTTTTGATTTGTAATCATTGGTTTTGCACATAATATACAGTATGTCAATTAATTCCAATATTTTAGCTTTTTTTTTTTGTTTAACTTAAAAGATCATGGTAGGTCTGTCTTGAAAGGTTTCTATGGAATCATGTAAAAAAATTCTCTATGGAGAAAAAATTAATGGGATTGTTACTTCTAAAACCCAGCTGTTGCCTTCTATAGACCTTAAGGTCTCATTGGGCATACAGGTATGACTGATCATTGGAAGTCCATTTGAAAGATTTTCCTTGAAGGACCAAACAGAGAAAGAGAGAAAATACTAAGAGAATGATTGTACATTTGTTCAATATTCAGAACAGAATTCTGCGAAGCAACTAGGGAAAACCAGAAACTGTCAGACTGAGATATAATGTAGAAAAACCAACTGTGTCTACCTGTATACACACCCTCCTCCCACCCCATTTTGCATCTTGGCTGCTTCCCATCCAAAAAGCAACAGCAGATTTAACACTGTGGCTCTCGACTAATTAATAATGGATACAGCCAGAGGCAAACTGAAATTATAATTCTCTACTCCTAAAACTCTCCAAGTTTGTATTCATTCCAGTTAAGATTCACTTTCAACACTTGTTTGGCTGTAATACAGTAATCCTCATAGCCATATAAATGTAGAGTAGAAATGCCATCGCAACACCATATTTTCTAAGCATGGTTATGTATTGCTCCTACCAGCAGTGGTTACATGTGAGCTTAATTGATGATGACACAAAAAAGCCCATGGCCCACTACGAGAAACCAACCGCTATGACTCAAGTGCTACATAACTAATGCAGTCGCACAGTTTAAACAATACCATTTCACCTCCAGCCTCGAAATGATTTCCTAATTCAAACGGGCTCCCTGTGATTTGTGGTCGCACTCCCAAAAAAATATTTATTGCGCAAGGCTCAGCACAGACTTTGCTGCTAACTGCATTGGCAAGCTATGCGTTCAAAACGTTCTGTCACCAGTTTTAGAGCAAAAAGCTGGCTATGCTTAATTTTTTTTTTTTTTTCCCAAACGCCAAATGTTGTTTTCTCTGTTCCATCTGCAAAGCTGCCACACATCTTCCAAGAAACTTAGATCGTGGCCCTCTTTAGCGCAATCATAAACGTGTTTCCTTAAGTGATTCCAAGCTAACTCTCTTTCTTTCTCTCTTTACAGATGTTTTTCCAGGTCTGATCACTTGGCTCTGCACATGAAGCGACATATCTAAGGCCGAGGGAGACGGGAGAGAGAGAGTGAGAGAAAAAGAGTGAGAACGAAGAGAAGAACATGTGTGCACCGCCCATTCGGGAACATTCACAACAGACTTTGGGTGCACACGAGGGGTCTGGCCACAAACGTCACCAGGAGGAACATGCGAGGCAGCGTGGGCAAGCGTTGTTGGATTCTACACCCTCTCAAGACCGTACAAAAGCCTTTTCATCAGCGATTAGCCATGCCTTACTGAGCGTTAGCTTGGAGGTCAGACACTGCCAAACACCACCTTTTTTTCCCCTCATTCTCTTTTTGTACAGTAACTTACCACTAGCATGGGACAGTAAACTGAACGCTACATGTACAAAACCGAAACGCACATGTCATTCATCACGTAACATAGTTCTACTAGAGAATCAACGTTCATTGTACATTCTGGAACTTCCTTTTTCTTTTTCCCAAGGACACATCACAATTACCAACCTGCAGCTATGTCGTATACAGCAAGCAACCAAACACGGAAAACAACATTGCCAATACGTTCGGAGGAGTGACCAATGGAAGTAGCGGCCAAACGCAACGCACGGCCCCCGAAGCAGTCTCTGCAAGGGAAAAATGAAAAACAAAAAATACGGCAACGCTCAGGATGTGTGCTGATTTCTTGTACTCTTTCGCTCAGGAGCGAACTCTTCTCTGCTCTTCACGCCCGTCACCTCACGGGCGACCGAAATGATGCGCAGCGACACTTTCTTGCCTTTGTTTTTTTTTTTAAAGACTGTTAAAAAGGTGGTTTGTTTTCCTTCTGTGCTGAAATGTCTTAAACTTCTGAAAAGTGAAAACTTACTTTGTGAACACAAGCATAAATGTGCACATACGGGCAACGGGAGGGAACTGTGAGCCCTTCTCAGTATGCACAAGGTTCAGTGGCTGCTATCTGGCACTGAAACGTAACATTGGAAGCATAAGACGGGAACATAAACCCCCAGAAAAGTTTGAAACTGCTGGCTTGGTGTGAAAGGACAGAAGTCTTCTATTTTTCATTTAGCTTTGCTCAGACTTGATCCGGGAAAAGTGAACCAGAGTGCGTCGGCACGGACCTTGTGTGATGCTCTTGACACTGGAAAGAGTTCTTTTGCTTTGTGTTGATACTGGCACCCATGTAAGAACATAGTAGTCCGGTGCACTGGAGGAGACCAACGGAGGAGACGTTATGGCGGGGAGGGACAGCTGGCAGGATGTTTGACTCTCAGATTGGAGCACCTGCTGGGATAAGGATCCAAGAGAACTCAGTGGCATCAGCCCAGACAAACTTTGCCTGTTTCGTATCCATTGTCTGCACTGATTTTTTCAATGTTCTCTGTGCTTTTTTTCATACAGTCAAAAAAAAAAAAAAGCTCAAAAACAAAACAAAAAAAGCATAAAAACAAAAAACAACTTGGAGGGAAAAAAGCAGAAAACAAAAAAAAAATACATTAAAAAAAAACACTTTCACACAGACACACCATAATGGAGACAGAATGGTTTCATTGCTCTTGGCTTTTTCCTGAGAAAAACGCAAGAAGAAAAAAAAGCAGAACAATAATTACCAAGTTAATGAACAGCATTAAAACGAAACACTGCATGGCAGCCTCTTTCAGACAGACACACACACTCGCACACATACATGCGCAGCTTGCCTCTCAGCATTATTTGTTTTTGCACCGAAATCTTCACAGCAGGGTTTTAGCAATTGTTGTTTTGTAGGATTGCGTTCCATCCAGACGTCAGACGTTAAATCGAGAACTTGTTGATACACTCGAGTAAATTATGCTAAACCGGGCCTAGGTCTAGCTCTGTGTTAACAATCAGCTTCCGAATAGCGGGTACAAAAAATTATATCATCGTTCCCAAGGTTGTGAAGCCTGTCATGGCGTCGCAATCAGGGCGTTACCCTGCCGACCCTCCTCTTCTGCATTGATTTAATGGCTGCAAGGGTGGAGGGGAGATTGAAAGCCATTATGATTCAGCGGTAACATGTTCGTAGTCATCACAGACTCTACTAAACAATCCCAGAGTATCCCTCAGGGGACTTACAGAGCTTAACGTTCGATACCGAAACTCTCAGTGCAGAACTGCCTAAGACTGAAGGGTTGGTGCCTTTCTCTTGGTTTGAGTCCTGCTGAAGGCAGCTCTTCTATCTCACATACACACACATACACAGACTTACACACACGCCATCACTTCGGTTTGACCACAACTACACGTTTGATTTCAGTTGCCATTTTCAATTGATTTCCTTTTATTTCCAAGTCATTTTCTTCATTGAAATGCAAAGTCATGCCAAATTTTTGACAAAATAGGGGATGAATTGGTTCATCTCCATTAATGTACAATCAGTTGTGGTTCGTGGCACTTTTTCCGCGAGAAGCGGCCCGTATATGTGACGATTGTATGTATGAGTTTCTGTAAAGCAAGCGAGCAGGATGTATTGCTATAGTGTCATAAAAACATTGTCTAATGTCCCACAATTCCACAAATGGGGCAACTATCGACGGTGTACAGCATTCTACGTTACATCAACTAAAAAGTTTCGAAAGGGTTAAATTTCTGTTTTACTCACATATAGCAGAGGTGAAAAGCTACATTTGTTTCACACTGCTCTGCTCTCCCGTTTTTGCTCCCTGATACAGCGACGATTCCGCTTATTCCTTTAGTCACCATATGGGATATAACAGAAGGAATGCAGAGACCAAAAAACGTATCATATCATTTTCTTTGACACTGACAAGCAATGAAGCCAGTCTTCAAATTAACAGTTAAGATATGCATATAAATATTTTCAGTTTAAACACAGTGCAAAGCAACGTTAAATGCAAAATTACAAACAAAATTGCCAACATGCTCCAGACGTTACTAAATGAATATGTAATAGGCCAATCAGATTCATTAGCAGGCAACATGCCGTACATATCCCCTCACATATCAAGTGCCATTTAAAACCCCGATATCTCACTCTCAGAACGACAGCAGTGGTCCAGTCAATTGCACAGGCGTCTGATGCATACTTTGCCCAAAGAATTACGCATTTGCAAATAAACTGCTGGGTGTTGAAAGAGAGAAAGAAGAATTTTGTGTCCGACTTTATTCTCACAGTATCTCTTCTGCCCTTCACCAGCTTCCTATGATTTGTTCTTTAATGTCTAGTTGATCATTGGCTTGGTCTTGAGTATGTGTGCTTGTAAAATATGGTTTGAATGCAAAGTTGAGGATGAGTTTAGAACCTAGCCGTGAAATTGAAACAGCGAATTAGTCGCATCGGTTCTAGCGCTTCTATAGTCAGTGCAGGTCACGCATGTCTTTAGAAATCACCATCCTTACGTAATTCCTAACACGATTTTAGCTGTACAGAAGACCACCTTATCTACTGCGAGTTATCCGTACGGAGATAATGCTGTGGCTGAGTGTTTTACACGACAGTAAGAATGTTTGAAAACATTCTAAGGGAACAAATTTTAAGTGTACTAGATATGGGCACTCTTCCAGTGAAGCTCCCTTCCCAAGCCGTTTGCTTTGTTGCTTCAAAGAGGCTTTTGGCAGCTTAAATTTTATACAAAAAGATGCTTGAAACATCACAAGGGGATTTTATGATAAATGGTCAGAGGTGACAACTTGTTCATTTTTATTGTCCGTATTGGAACATTTCACTGCATAACTAACACACGTCATTGTTACCGCTAGCTTAGTCTGTTTAAATGACACTGCTGTCGATTGTCTACATAACATTTAGTGGCATTTCAAGATGCACTTATCACAAGATCATGGGAGCGATTCATACTTCAGCTTATTAGATAAAGCTTGTAGGTTCATGGCACAACATTAATTGTCTTTTTTGGTCAACGATGCATCGAAATAAAGTCTGCTATTCTGCGTACACACTCAAATACTCATCCATATAGTTCCCAGTCACTCGCAAACAGAGATGAGAACTGAGGACTCGTTTGACTTGAGATATACTGCATCTTGAAGTGCATCTGTATCCGTGTTTGTCTGAACTTGATATGTCAGTACGTAAGGTTTTCTCCAGGTCTTTCCCTTTGGCTTTTTGTGTTCCTCACCTCCCACCCCATCTATCCCACCCTGCACCTGCAGAACCACGGTCACTTCCTGAAAGCGCCGTCACTTCAGTTTCATCCTGCAGTTATTTTACCAGCTGACAGCAATCTCTTACCTATGAATGTCCCTAGACATCACTAACCAGGGAGCAACCGGCCAACAACAGACCTCAAAGCTTTTACAGGTGCTCTCTCTCTTATCCAAACATGGATCTTTCAGACGGCCTCCAGTTGGTAGAGCAGGTACAAGTCTGAAAAAGAAAAAAACAGAACAGTTATGTGCCATCTTGATTTATCTGTATGGAAGTAGGACGACATTTTGCCATATGTAGGCTGAAGCATGTAGTTTCTCGCTAGAGCAGGGACCCTCATATTCACTGTCCTCTCTTTCCCTCGCCACATCACTAACACTCCACCCCCTCACTTCCTGTAATCTTCACACTCTTCCTCTCCGGTTTTTTTCTATTCTGTTCTTTCCTTGTGTGTTTTTCTTTATTGGTTATTTTGCTGTACAAAGTGTTTAAAATATTATTATTTGTATGATATAATGTTAGTATGGTAATGTTCTTTATTAAGGAAGAAGATGAAATTTATTTTTGTTACTGGTCTGTTTCATAATTCTTTTTTAAATTGGTATTGTAAGATATCTATGCAAGAACTGTTCAGTGGAGCATTTTTATTTAAGAATGTAATAAGTGTAATAAATGGTAGAATCTGAACACCCTCAGACTGACGTTTTCTGTGACCAGAAAGAAGAAATATTACTTTGACAGCGGGTGAGAGAGAAATCACCACATTGTGACAATGGCTCTGTGCACATTGGCTTAAAATGACTTTTTTGTGTGTGTCCACGGTTCATTGGAATTGGAAAGCCGAACACCATCACCAACAGAAGCACTGTGAAGGTCAAAGACTATCACGCTTTGTTTGCACCTAGATATTGTTGTATATCTGAATTTAAACAAACAGCAATTTTACCACTGTTTACAGCAATTAATAAATAAAAATTATTAATTATGAATAAAATAAAAATAATAAATTGATTATACAATTAAATAAAAAAATGTAAATAAAGAAAGAAAATAAAGGAATTCCATTAAGAAGGCAATTTCTGGTTGCTGCCTTAATAAAAAAAAATTGCGCATTCAGTATTGGAAGTTTATATGAACTTAAAGGTTCTCTAAGCGATGTCGGGTGACGTCACTTCTTGTTGACGTTTAAAGTATTGTCAAACAAAACGGAGGCTAGCTAGACCCTCCCTCCTCCTCATCCGCGCACCAACCCCCCAAACCCCGCCCCCAAGTCCTTCTTGTCGGTGATTGGCTGGAACTTTTTGTCATGTTTCGTGGAGCGGGTT